TAAAGTAGAGAGTCAAGTGAAAAGAAGAAGGCCCTCAGCATGATATATTGGTATAACGGCTGCAAAAATGCGCTCAACTACAACAATAATTGTGAGGATGGCACAGGACAAAGTAGTGTTTCATCGTGATGTCCACGGGATCTCTGTGAGTCAGAACTCACACATGGCACCTGACAACAGCAACATATGCAAAATAAATAGCCCTGGTGTTGCAGGGACTAGTTTCCTGGCTGCTAGCTAAAAGATTGGCTGGTGGTTCAAATCCACTAGCAGCTCCATTTCAATTCTATCCTTTGGAGTTACAAGGATTCAATCAGTGGAGGTGAATGGCTTCAGGCAAAGCTTATACATTTTTAGCAAATCTTCACATCTGTTCACTACATAGTTTTGGAGAAGTTATCAATAACTTTGTGTTGGATAACAGAATTAACAACTTTCCCAAGAAGCTCTATTATGTGTCTGGTGGCAGATATGGTCCTATGTTTGCCAAGCCCTGTTTCAGCACCTTCCTGGGAGGTTTCCTACCCTGTATTTCCCAGAAACATTGCAGTCACATGGAACCCGGTGACGGAGTCTGGGCAAGAAACAATCCTCGAACTCATTTTCTTCACATTCATGTGTGATTTCTAAAACATCAACATATGCTTCCCTTCCTTGCTAGTCAGTGTGACGGATCCAGGGGAGAATGCTGGGGAAAAGGTCACAGAGGAGGACCAGCCATATGGAAGGCATGGCACAGCTCCTGGCCTTCGTATTGGATTGGGATATAAGTGATGAACTGTGGCTGTGTTAAATTGCTAAGATTGGGGGTGGTAGTAATCATGGTTATTTAGACAACATTGATGCATTGATTTATCTGTCCAGGTTTCTATGAATTTGTTAAATTTTGGTGGCAATGTAAAATTATATGTCATGTTCTGATGTAAAGGAACTCTATTGAATTTCTGCATAAAAGCAAAGATGACAAGAAATATCCCTAAAGGCAATTTAAATAAAACTACAAGAGTTTAGAATAGAATAGCCAAGTTAAGAATGTAAAACTATTATAATTGTCAGATAGATGCGTGTGCCAGGGGCTGTCTCGGAGATTCTTTCATTTAATTTCAGGATCTTTCTGGAGAGCTTAGTTCTTCATAAAGCTATCCGAAATTGGCTAGTCTTTCTGTAAGAAAAACATAACAAACAAAACAGATTTAATCTATCATGACTGAGTGGCATTGCTGGGTGTTAAGGCTTACAATGATAGACTTTGCAGCGCTTTCAAGACACCATCAGAAAAACAATTCTGAATGGGAGATGAATGTGTTAATTCAGCTATTAAAAGTGTTGCTTATCAGGGGAGTAGATTCTTCTCCCTTCCGCTACACAGATCCACTGAGCACTCCCTCTGCTGGCTCAATATTTACTAATGTTATGTGTGTGCAGGGAACTAAATTCTGGAGGATGTATAAATTAACACGATCAATATTCATTCACCAATGTACACCTGTATGAGGCAAGAAAGCAGTATACAGACACTTGCCACCTTCCAAATAGTACTTCATAGGCCCAAATGCTGAATCAGCATGTTTCCTTCTCATAGGTCAGCTGAAAAGTGAACTTTCTTGCTGATGAAATTCTAATCAGAAAAGAACAACAGTCTAAAGAAATCTCGGCTCAGCCATCGTCAGCTATATGTTGTACAAACCTAAATCACTAAAGGCTAAAAAGGGAAACAGCCTGAGGAAATCAACATTCATGTGAGTCTATTAAGAGCAAAAATTTGAATTAGAGTTCACAGCTGGAGGGAGGAAAAAAAGAAAAGAGACAGCGAGAGAGCAAAGGTTAATTTCATATAGTGACAGTTCTCATCAATTAATTTCATGAGTTTTCTGTGATGTGTATTCAGAATCATGGGCTTTCGGGTGGAAATTTGCCATCACACTTGGTGCTGAGGTGAAGTCCACTAGACTTTTAGGCTCACTGTTGCCAATATTGAGAAGATAAGTAAAGCTACCTGCACTCAAGAAACTGGCTTAGAAAAATGGTTCAATTAATTGACTTGTTTTTTCCTAGTTCCACAAAGGATTAAATTTTATTTAGAAAAATAGAAGCAATGCTAACATGAAAATACCAATAACTAAGGGAATTCGATGTAGAAATGAAAATGGTATGACTTCACTATGAGTTGGCATCGACTCGATGGCAGTGCATTCTACGTTGTGTGGCAGTTACACAATCTCCTGTCAACTTGAGTGGAGAGGCGGGGTCCAGCCTGTCACTCAGGTCGTAGCTTGATGACCTCATTTGGAGGTGTGAAGGAGATAAATTGCTCACTGGAGGCCAGACCCAGTCTCTCTCTGCCTTCCCTTTCCTGATGCTGAGACACTCAGAGAGCTGGAGGAGACATGTGGAGACCCACGCCAGCATTAAGATGCTTCCACTGCCATTGAATCTACAAGACCTTCTACCTTCTACCCACTGGCCCAAGATCTTCCTGCATTCGGCATCATTGATGTGCTGCATGGTCTAAGGAATTTATGGACCAGTACTGGACATATGGGCTAAAATAGGACTTATGAGCTTGATCTGGACTGGGCTGGGGTGTTTTCTCAATATACAGTTGCTGTTTTATATAAAGCTCTTTCTTATACACATATGAGTGTCTGTGAGTTTTCTTCCCTCATCCACCCGGACTAACAGACTTTGTTTTGCATATCGCTAGGAGGGACTAATTGCTAGAGAAAGACAACAGGCTTGTTGGGGGGTCAAATGCAAAAGATGGAGATGCTCATTGAGATGGATTGACACAGTATAAAAGAAGGTGAAGGTGGCACAGAGCTGGGCACTTCATTCTGTTATATTTAAGGTGGCTTTGAGTCCGACTCAACTTGAAGGCAACAAAAACTAGGAGATCCTCTCCCAAATAATCAAATTTAAACGTGGGGGCTTAAAACATTACGAATATAGTTGACTAGCTGCTCATACTTTCATGATCTTGAAGAGATAAGACATTGTAATTTCAAGAAATTTAGAGAATTTATTTAGAATACTGAAGCTCATGGTCATGAGTTCATAGGTACCTTAAGACTAATTTTAGGACAAATTCTCACATTTATGTGAGACTTACAATATAAAAAAGCACTGAAATTTATTCTTCATGGAAATTGTGAAGAATGGAATACAGGCTGTGCAATTAGTATGATGCAATTTAAAATTAGTTGACTCATCTATGAATTAGTTATGCATTTTTCTCTAATTTAATGTTATTGATTATTATCATCACTGGATAGGCTCAAGGCTATGCAACTCTCTTAGACTTATGTAATTATTTTTGAAACAGAAATCAGCATTACTCTTGTTACCTCATGAGGGCACACTTGTATCATATTTTCCCTAAAAAGATTTCAGAAACTGACTTAAACATCATACCAAGAAAAGCCTTTTTCACCCCCTTTTCTATGCATAACTTAGCTTTATAAAACATATTTAAAGTACTCTGTAGGCTGCTCTTTCTTCCCGTAGGCACTGAGTACACTTCAAAGCATGTAGTTAAAGGTGAAAGCTTGAATCTCATTCAAGAACATTTGAATTAGGGCCACTTATTGGAAGCCTCTTTAGCCAAGTTGGCTTTTGTTGAGTTGGTATTGGGAAGCAGAACAGACTGCCTTTTAATGTAGGTAGGTACCAAGTAAGTTGGAAATTTTCTAAAAATTTGGTTGAAACTGGAATTCATCTTCAATTAGTATGCAGGAAGAAGAGCCAAGTGTGTCAAATATATCTATAGTCCTAAGGGGCTATAGCCCAAAGTATCAGTCAGTTAAAAAACCTGTAAGTTAGGTGCTGTTCTTTTTTGGGTTTTTTTGACTGATGTTTCTGGTTATTGCCCCTTAGTGCTACAGATATATTTGACACACTTGCAATCAAATGTTCAATTCATCCTTATTGTTTAATTTTTCAAAAATAAAATTGTAGATTGGGATTGCTCAATTTGTTCTTCACATTGTGTAACAGTCTTTTTATACTTAGATGTTAATCTTTGGATTTGCATGTAAATTACAGGCAAAACTGAACCCAGTCATAAATCAAGAGTAAAATATTTATAAAATATAAATCACTCAGAACCACACTTGAACTTTTGTCTTTGTCATGTGATGTCCAGTGGATCCGTACTCACATGGAATAGAACTGCCCTATAAGATAGGCTAGGCGGTAAATCTTCACAGGCATGGATTTTGAGGTTGTCTTTCCTGTGGATGTGCTTGTGGCTGTGAACTGCTGACCTTATATTTAGCATCTGAGCCTCTAATTTAGCCCCCTTGGGCATATAGGAAGGACTATAAAACAACATCATCATTACATCAACAAAGTAAGAATTTACAAGTAAACTTGGATGGTTTATTCATGTGACTTTAAAATCTTACTCAGAACTTATCTCAATTACATAAATAACTAAAACTCAAGAATTTTTTAAAAGTTGGTTGCTTCTCTGTCAAGAATGGAATGAAAAATACAATGAAATATAAGAAGTGGATTTATGGATAAGGGAATATTGAAATGGCAAGAAATTACTATTATCATTTAATTGATGAGAAAACATTTTTAAAAAGTCTTTGTGAGAAGTGATTGAGGATGCATATGTAAGAAGTCAAATTTATTATAACCTGGAACAGTTTAATATAGAGACGAGATGGAAATATGACGTCCCTTCCCCATTCAGGATGGATGGTGTTAATCTCACATCTACTATGTTCTTTCCAGACTCATAAATGTATTTCTGTTCAAAATTAATATAGTTTAATTATGTTATAAAGTTTCAGTATATTAATAAAATTATTTTATATGTATATTAAATTATAAGCAAGGCTATTGGGATATCTCATTCGCTAGTAATTTCAGAAATGTGTGTCTGTGTGTGTACAAACAATGAGGACAAATGATAGGGGGATGGTGAAGGAAGGCAGAGGCCGAGAAAGGTGGCACGCTGGAGAGGGAGAGGGAGAATGGGAAACATTACTTACCACAAATTGTATTGTCTTCATCTGAGCCATCTGGACAGTTTAATTCTCCATCACAAAATGAATCAAGTGCTATACATTTTAGAGCATCAGCACAAGGCCTTGAACCAGGAAGGCAGTTTATGGAAGCATTCCCTTTAAAAAGTAAACAAACCGACAAACAAACACACCAAAGAAAGATGCATTTATAAACTTCCAGCAGAGCAGAGTTAAATTCCAATTTTTTGATTACTTAAGATGTATTACTTTTGTCATTTGGTTGCTTACTTAAAAGTATATACTTATAGATTTCAGTAGAATATTTTCATTAGTTATCAATAAATGGAATCCATAAGGACGATAAATGTAAATCTATTATTAGAAATATTCAGTTGTTCCTTACTTCTATAATTGACTTTTTATGTTGTCCATTTAATACAATTTTAGTAGCTACCCACTGGAATCTAGTCACTGTTCCGTGCGTGACCACCCCTTAGAAAGACCACTGTGGCTGACAAGTAGATAAACCTAATTTCTTTGGAACTATTTAGTTAATAGTTCCAAGAGAAAGCATTACACATCAATCATTGTGGATTTTTTTATTTGGAGGAAAATATTCTACTGTAAAATATAAACCAGTTAAAGAAAACCATGTTATTTTAAATAGATTTTCTGCTCTATGCAAATACTATTTTTCAAAATATTACCTTCATGAAACTTGCCATTCTTGCCAGAAATATTCTATGAACTAAAGTATCATTTATATTCATCTAAATGCCTAAGAGTGGGACAGGGTAAACAATGTCTATGTTGGCCTATGTTGTTAGATGGACACATTGTATTGACAAACACTTTATTTGCAGGTAGAATAGTTTATGGCTTATGGAAAATTGAAACAAAACAAAACACTTCCTCTTGACAAATTCTGCATCATCTAGTATCTATTCAAAATCTCTCACTTATTTATAAACATAAATTTTTGAAGAAAAGTCCTGAGGAAATAGAAATCTAATCCAGACTAATATTTTCTGCAGGCCAATATGCCTTCATGACAATTGATAAAAATATATGACATAAATTTTAGGGAAAAATAAAACATTTATTCATAGGTAGTAAATATTGATGTCTGTCTAATAAAATTCACTTTAGAAAAAATACACCCAGATGGTCCTCAGAGGCAAGGATGGTGAGACTTTATCTCGTGTGTTCTGGGCGTGGTATCAGGAGGGACCAATCCCTGGAGCAGGCAGAAAAACCAAAGAAGAGAGCTGTCATCCACAGTGGGCTCAAAGCTAAGAACAATTGGGACGATGACTCGGGAATGGGCAGTGTTTTGTTCTGTTATGCAAAGAATCACCGTGAGTCAGAACGGACTCGAAGGCACCTTATAGCAGTACATTTTAAGCTTGATAAGTACACTTTATATACTTCTATTTTCTCGGGTATTATGTAGGGCAAATCATGGACAGCTTAGGGCATGAATCACGTCATCAGTATCTATTCAAAATCTCTGTTACTCATAAACATAGCCATTGAAGAAAAATACTGACAACCCATGATTTGTGTTGTGAGCAGCAAGATTTATCAATGGATGTCATTGCACAGGAAGATTAAACTATTTAAATTCTCAGGTGCAGCCGTACACCAAGCAGTGGAGACAATAAAAGACTGTTTTCATTCAATACCTTCCTTGTTTCCTGGGTGAAGGATGATTAGGGTGAAAGACACACATGCTCCACCTGCAGGTGTGAGTGGTCTGTGCTGTGCTGGAGCCAGGGTCAGAGCCCTGGGCACCCTTTATGCTAGCTTGTTTGTTACCTGCCCGCATCCACATTCTTAAAAAAGAGACTCATCAAAAACCACATTTCACTTCTAGGAATTAAGCTGGAAATTTTAGGAGCAATTCTAAGATCAGATTTGAAGAGACTTCAAAAAATTTGTGGAAAAATTCAATTATCTTTCATTTCCATTTTTTTGCATTTTGAAGCCCCTCATACTTTAATATGACTACAAGATAAATACATATGTTGCTTTTTTGCAGAAGAATGTGAAAATTGGAGTAATTAGCTTATCACTAAAGTAATGACGATGATTTAGCATTTTTGGAAAATCTTTCATCTCAATAGCATTTTTGTTGGTGTTCATTATCTTAAAACCTGCCCTTTACTGCCATCTACTGGCTTTCAATAACAAGATAATTCCTTCTGAAATTTCTTTTAAAACCCTTTCAAAATAATTGTAAAAAACACAAGATTTCTTTTGCAATATTAATTAGCAACACTTATGGAATATTTTGTTGAGTTTCAGAGATTTTTGTAACAGGCACTAACAGAAATGGGTATAACCCACTGGGAAATCATGACATATCTAGAATCTAAAATAAGATAGAATAAAGATCAGTCATTACTTAATGACAGAATGTTGCACGCACTTAAGAGATTAAGATAATTAGAAAAGGTATTTAATACACCAAATCTCCCAATATGTATTTCAATTGCTTATATATGAAATTTTCCTGAGAAAATGACTTAATTATTGAATTATTTAATATCAAATATAGGATAGACACAGCAAATAAAAGGACTTGTAGATTCTTGGTAAATATAAAAGGAGGATGAGGCTAGACACTCCATGTTTTATTTTTAAAATAATTACCAAAATTATAATAACTTGCCATTTGAAAGGGAAGATTTGGGAGGCAGTTGGTGAGATGTACAATTTTTTTTATATTTCTAGTGCTTCCCAAATAGCCCTGTTGGCGTAGTGTGTTATACATGGGGCAGCTAACCACAAGGTCAACAGTTCCAAACCATCCATCATTCTTAGGGAGAAAGATGAGATTTTCAACTTTCTTAAAGAGCGATGGTCACAGAAAGAGTTCGACTCTGTCCTACAGTATCACTCTGCATCCCTATTGACTCATAGTGAATGAGTGAGGGGATGTTTCCCAGGAAAACTCGCCAATATTTCAGCCTCTGTGTGTTGCTGGTCCCTTGGGTGGAGCACGTTAAGCTCTACAGACAAGATTTTACCACCATGAGTGGCACCGCTGGAGAACTTTTGATCTACCTCACCATTCATGTCAAAAGAATCATCTGCCATGTGTGCTAAGGAATTCTTAAGGGATGGAAACAGAAGGATGAGTCCTGCAAGGCTTCTATTGCTTTCTTTCTTTTGATCCATGGAGCCAGTAGTTTAATGGTGTCACGTGTTCATTTTCTAATAAATAATTCAATAAATAAGGTACAAAGAAGAGCCACAGTGCACCACATATTAAGCAACTTGTTTTGTTTTGTTTTTCTGAAGCAAGGCCTGCAGACGCCTTCCTAGGGGAGCTTAGATTTCAACTAGGTGTCTCAAGATGCTAAAGGCCTCTGTTGGCACAGTGGGCTAGCATTGAACTCTTAACAGCAGTTTCGACCAACCATCTATTCCAGAGAAGGAAGATGAAGCTGTCTATGCCCATAAAAATGTACAGTTTCAAAAACCCTGGGAACAGTTCTACTTTGTCCTATAAGGTCACTATGAATTGGAATTTATTCAAGAATAGGGAGTTTGCTTTATATGTGTGTGTGTGATGTTTATACATGTTCCAGGAAGATAGTGGAATGTAGTTGTGGTCATGGCTGACAGTATACCCATGTTTTGAAAACAAATGGGCTTACTTTGTTTATACAGAGGCTATTTGTGGAAAGCAGAGAAGAAAGGAACTTCGGTGCCAGATGGTAGAAGACCTTTATACCTTTGTAAACTATCAGAAATATTTTTTATAGATATTGGTGTTGAAATTCTTATGTATGAGTCTGATATGAGCAGTTCTTGCTTTATAAAGCGATAAATACAAAGAAGTACTGGGGAGAGAAGATCAGTTCGGATGCTGTCTTCATGATTCACGTGAATGCTTATGGGTGCTGGAAACGCACGCTGACAGCTGCGGTGGGCGTAGGGTCAATGGCTATTTCACAGGTAAAATGCTTTGTGACTTGATGCCCCTGGCCAAGAAGAGAGGAGGCAGAGGAGTGTGCGTTCTCCTGATGGTAAACATAACCGATGGGTATTACACGAGTCAGGGAGGTGGCGTTTGGAAACAGGTCTAATGGGAGGTATTTTTATTTGAAGATAGAATTAGCAGAAGTTTTTGATACTGTACTCTGATGCCACGGTCTGTACTCCTTAAACACTCGTCAGCCAACTTTGGTTTAAGGAGGAATAAAATTGAAAACAATATGAAAAACAGGAAAATATATTGGCATCCAAAGTTTAACTATATTAATACCTAGTTTTCTCACTTTTCTTTATATATAAAGATGACTCCAACCTCGTCCAGCTCTGTTGCAGGCATTCTGATCAATTAAACAGACTGACATATGTTCATTTACCTTGCTACAGATGTACTACAAAATTCAAGATTATTTAACGGTAACATTTGGGGGGAGAATTTAAAGGTGATACTGGTGCTTAGTGGGGAAAACCATTGAAGAAAAATGTAACTTGTGGTCCTAGTTAACTTATGTAATAGTGGAAGCAGAGTCTGAACTCTTACAGGCCTATTTTTAAAGGCCAATTTCGTTACCCGATAGTGGAAAAATAGATATCATCTTACCAAAATTCACATTTATTTCTAGGACCATTCTGTTCTGTTTAGCAAGACTTTGTCTAATCAATTCAAAATGAAGCTACAATGGAAACTGAAAAATACTTTAATGTCCTTACAAATTGTTCAAGCAAGAACATTGTAAATTAGAAGAGAATGAAATATATAAGTGTTATCCGTTCAAATGCAGCAAAAGTCACAATACATTTAATATTGGATAAAATATGTGTGAATCTTGGAGCAATTAAATTGAGGAATATAATTCAACTTTGGAATCTCTTGGCCCAATTTCATGTTCTTTATGAGATGAACTAATTATTTTCCTTCAGTCCCCAAAGTCCTCCATATAGTAGAAATGTAGCAGAATTTTGTTTATTATGAGACTGAGAAAGCCCCTGCTAGTGAAACTTTCTCCCCATGTAATCATTGCCTACACAGTAAGCAACAAGGATGAAAACAAGCTATACAGTAGAAACCCTTCAAGCAAGAGAGCAATTGCCAAAACCGAGCCCCTAGGCACGCTATAGCTGGCAAGAAATCAATCAGTATATTGCAACCTTCATTTCCTTCTCTTTCCCCTAGTGTTTCAAATAGGTTGGTATAACTTTATGGTAATTGGCATCAGACGCATTAAACAACTGAATACAATCCTCTTGGACTTTGTAACCACTGTCATGTAAATATTCTTTTGGCAGAATTTATAGTAGCACTTATATCAGGTATATGAGGCATGCATTTGTTGATTTTCCTCAAACTTTGTCTTTCAGGAATATAAAAATGAAAATAAACTTAACATCCCTGAAAGGCATTTTCATAACAAATTACTGCGTGGAAACTGAGGGTTCTAAGTTTAATTGACATGTTCTCCTCTATAAATCTATATTAGCTTGTCACATGAGAGGAAAAAATGGGGAAGATGAGTAGACTCATACAATATTTGGATCCAGTAAAAGAAGTAAGGTAACTAGCATACTGTCTCTTTTACTGGAGCCAAGTACAGCACTTTCGTAACTTATAATTCTTTGAGGTTTGATTAAATTAATTCAGTAGTTCCCCTTAATAGAAAAGCTTTGGAAGTGGAGCTGGTTAAAAATATTCTAACTAACTGAGAGTTACTAAATGCAACCATCTTATTTTAATCTTGGTTTTTGAAAACAGCTTTTAACTTGTCTATCTGAATCAGTAAGAGGCAAGGAGATGCCCACAAATACTTGTTTCCCACCCCCTTCTCCTGAGAATTCTGGGAACTCTAGTAGTACTCTCTGGGAGACTTTGCAACTGACAGGACACATGGAACTATGCTATTGTCCTGACCAGAAGGAACCATGTGGAGACCCCGGCCAGTACTGAGATGCCTCTACCGTCACTGGATCCACAAGACTTTGCACCCACTGGCCTGTGATCTTCCTGCATTTGGTGTCATTGCATGTATTTCGTGAGTCTGAAAAGGAATTTATACATTGGTTTCGGGCATATGGGCTAATATAGGATTTATGGACTTGATCTGGACTGGGCTGGGATGTTTTCTCAATATTCAACTGCCCTTGTATATAAACCTCTTTCTTATCATGTATGAGTGTCTATGGATTTGCTTCTCTAGTCTACCCAGACTAACACAGGTGCCCCCTCATATGATTGAATGGGTGAATTCAGAGTTATTTAGAACTGATTCAGCAAGAAAAGTTAAAGAACAAATAACCCAAACAGTTTGATAAAAGTTGTGTCTCTTCACAGAGAATCCAGGGCGGATGATCCCTTCAGGACCAGTGGTGAGAGTGGTGATCCTGGGAGGTTGGAGAGAGGGTGGGGTGGAAAGGGGGAACTGATTACAAGGATCTACATATAACCTCTTCCCTGAGGGATGGACAACAGAAGAGTGAGTGAAGGGAGATGTCAGAGAGTGTAAGATATGACAAAACAATAACTTATAAATTATCAAGGGTACATGAGGGAGAGAGGAGTGGGGAGGGAGGGGGAAAATGAGGAGTGGATGCCAGGAGCTTAGGTGGAGAGCAAATGTTTTGAGAATGATGAGGGCAATGAATGTACAAATGTACTTTACACAATTGATGTATGTATGAATTTTGGTGAGTTGTTTGTGCCCCTAATAAAATGATTTTTTTTAAAAAGTTGCATCTCTTCTAGCAAATTTTTTTGCTTCCTCTAGCATTGTTCTTAGATAATAATGCATATGCAAGACAGAGGGCTGGATAGAAGTCAGATCATTGAGACGTTTTTTAATTCTCCATTTCTTTATCTGAAAATAGGGGTAATATTAACTGTTGTGTTATCTAAGAGAGTTATCAGTTGTCTAATGTAGAACATAAGTGAAAACTTTTAAAATTATAAATACAATATTATGAAAGGAATATTACATATTCCTTTACATATTGTTTAACATGAGATTTGTCGTGTAAAAGCTGTGAATAATTAATGTCTATCAACTTTGGAGTCCCTGAAAGGAAGAAAGCACTGAGCGGCTAGCTACCTTCTAAGTAAGAGAGTGAACACTATTCAGTGATCAATAGCTAAACATAAGGATTACTTAGTTTCTTAAGGACTAGAAAAAATGTTATCTCACAAAGAACAATGACGTATCCTTAGAACTTGAACTTTGAATAGAGAAAGGGATCATTTAACTTCTGTGTTTTATAACCAACAGCTGTGTGACCCTGGGCACATTATTTATTAGTCAGTTTGCTTCTCTACAGGCTCCTTCAGAGTCCCGGTGGTGTAGTGGTTGCTCACGGGACTGTGATCCGAAAGGTCGGCAGCAGGAAATCAACAGCTGCTCCATGGCTAGAAAGACAGGGTGTTCTGCTTCCATAAAGAGCTACAATCCCAGAAACAATAGAACGTTCTACCCTGTCCTGTAGGGCCCCAACGAGTCCACATCAACTCTATGGCAATGACCAAGGCAAGCTCATTCGGAAGCTCAAATCGGAGTTTTGTTTTTCTTGAGTCCTTTGGAGTCCATTTGGACTCGTCCAGACCCATGTCATAGATAAAACTGCCCCGTGGGGGGTTTCTTGGCTATGATCTTTACCGAAAGTGATTGCCAAATCATTTCCTGGGAATTACTGAGAGAGTTCAAACTGTAAGTCAGCTGTCAAGTGCTTAATCATCGTGCCATTGCCATCAGTGTTTGTAAAATATGGTATCTGGCCAAATAAACAATTATCATAGGTCTTACAAGTATTATGGAAATAGCCATAACTATATATAATGCCACTAGTATTATCCTTATAGTTTTATGAAAAATTACACTTTGAAAAGTTCATATATAAAATTTAAGTTGTTATGATACCTAAGGTATTCATGAAAGTTCTATTTTCTAATTTTATAGGACACAGGATTTTACAGAGTAAACAGATGAGTTCCGACACCTAGTCATTGACAAACCAGGATTAGAATTCAAATCTTCAAGCCTTCCATCTTTATGTTCTGTTTTCTTTCCTACACTAACGCCATTTCACGTTTTAAAATACCTCTGGTTAATTATGAAAAAATAGGTAAAATTTCAAAGCAAATTCTTTCAATATTGTTATGATCTTCATGAGACAAAATGAAGTTCAAATCTTATGGTCAGCAATGACTGATGTAACGAGAAAGATGTGGTAAGAAAAAACAACAAAAACAACTGAAATGGCCATTATTAATCCTAGTTTGTTTCTGCTTTTCAGACTGTGCACTACCTTTCTCGAATGCTCTATAGGTTGACTGAACCTACCCGTCAGTGCCATGGAAGAATGGTCTAGCAATCTGCTTCTGTAAAGTTTCCAGCAATGTTCCTATGGAGAAGTTCCCGCCACTCTATAACAAATGGGGTTTGGTATGGATGGAATATTGTAACTGGGCATCTTGAGGTGTGTCATATTACGAGCGATAATATTCTTATTTAAATATATGCTTCTTACATCTTAATATGGAAATTAAATATCTCAGAAAGAGGTATAAGAAAAAAAATCTAATAGCATGGAATTTGATGATTATCAAATTATATATTTTAAAATGTCGTAAGTACTGACCTGAAATTGTTGTAGGGCTTATTGTAGAGGAGTACTCCACAGCTTCTACTTTTTAAAAAAAGTGAAATTGATTTGATAAGAGAGTTGTAAAGTGAACATATTAGAAATAATTCAGTTCAGTCTGAATAGTCATTTGAGAAACAATGGATGCTTTAACATTATCATTTCATCTCTCCTCAGATTGAATGTTCCACTTAACTGTTTGATTGTAATATACAAGAACTAGTTCTTGGAAATATACCATCATTTTTGAATCTCTTTCCCACAAAGCTCACTGTATTGGATCTACCTCCAGATTCTTCATTGTTTTTCTGTAAAAGTTAATTATGTAAAAACATTGCTTTATTTTGTTTCCATTAAGAAAGGTAGCTGTATAGCTACTATGATTTCTTTCACTAATTTACATTTCGGTCCATTTTTAGGAACAGTTTACTCGGTGACAAAAGTGGTCTGAGTTTGGTTGATAATTTAAAGTTTGGGGAATCCTAACCATTCAACAATTCAGTAGCATCATGAAAAAATAAGGGCTGGCAATCTGTGTCTGTAAAGATTACAGCCACGAAAAGCGCTTTGCGCTGGAGTTCGACTCTGTAGTAGGTGGAGTCCTCATGAGTCAGAACAACTCAGTGGTCACAATGTTTGCTGATTTCCTTTTTTAATTTTTAAAACCACACAATGTCTTGGTATGCCTCATACTAATGATTTGTTTTTTACTAGAATAGGTTAAAACCAAAGCAAAAGTCATTGATACCCAGTTAATGATGACTCACAGAGATCTTACAAAGCTGAGTAGAACTGCCCTGGGGGTTTGTGAAACTAGAAATCTTTCTGGGAGTAGAAAGCATCATCGTTCTCCTGCAGAACAGTGATAGTTTCAAACTGCTGAACTTAGGGGTAACAGCTTAATTTCTAACCCATCAAGTTACAAAAGGTCCTTAGTAGCAAAACAATATCCATACACAGTATTATCTACTAGATGCAGATCTAATAGTACTTTATATTTCTGATAGTATGTACTAGAAAATATACTATTTAAATAAAAAGATTTTCAAATAAAAATTAGCTATTTTCAGAAACCTTAATATGTTTAATAATTTTAAAACCCAGTGGCTTCATTGTAGCATATATAAAGAAAACCAACTTATCCTCTGAAAAACTATAATTTAATAAAATGTCCTTTTAATCAAAACTGTATTTAAGGTTGGTGTGATAAGAGATATGCTTCCTTCAAAAAATTAGTTTGCTTTTTTTTAACCTTAGTATTTCTTCATCTTTGTGCTACCTTATTCCTTCAAGATTTATGGAAAACTCATAAATCTACAATGTATGGTAAATTATTGATAAAAGGACAATGTTTTACCTGTTTATTAAATTTGATGTAATAATATGCTCTAGAAAAGTTTTTAAAATTATTAAATCCTCAACAAATTGTAAAACATAATATGTTTGAAAGTTCACATTTATAGTAAATTAAAATAGCTTGATATGACTCTTTTATCCATAGCCTTGATGCCTTTTCCCTGGAGTCTTTACCTGTAGTAATTGAGCTCAATCAATAATCACTCCAATCCAAAAAGAGGGTCAGATAACTGAATTTATTAGAAAGACTTGTCCAAGAAGACATTCTCACAGAAACCAAAACTGTATGATGGGTACCCACCAAAAAAAATGGAGTAGTTTGCATTTTCCCCTCGAGGCCAGAATTGAGCAACTTGCTCTGAGTTAGTGCACCCAGTAGCATCACCTGGGAAAGTTCTCTCTGGTTAGAGTAATTTTTTGTGAAAGTACTTTTGCTCAAACCTCATTTTTTTGTGATGATCAATTTAAGAGAACAGTGCACAGCTGTGAAATTTTGATTCCTTCTCAGGAAAAATGCAACAGAAACATGTAATGTTGAGCACAACTTACAAGGACAGCACTTGGGGAAAAACTCAAGTGTACCAGTAGTTTTCTCATTTTCAAAAAGGTGAAATGTCAATTGAAGACAAACCTTGTTCTTAGGTGTCCATTAACTTTCCTAACATAGGAAAATGTCAACAAAATTCATGCATTTGTGCTAGAAGAATGACGATGGACCATTGAAAAGATGAGGAAGTTATCTGGAATATCTTGGAGCTCAGTTCAGCAAATTTTAATGAAAGATTTAGCAATGAGAAAGGTCACTGTGAAATTTGTGCCTCGGGTCTGAATGATAACCAGGACAAAGAATGTCAAGTAGCAGCATGCCTGCTTTGAAAGAACAGCTTCAAAGTGATCCAGAGATTTTTTGCAAAGTCATTACTGGTGATGAAACATGGTCTTAGTCTTATGACCTCAAAAGCAAACGTCAAGCCAGTGGAAGACAACATCTTCACCTCACCTCAAAAAGATTGTCAAGTGAAATCAAAGATCAAGACAACTACAGTTGTCAAAACAGCATGGTAGTGGTATAATGACAGCTTCTCAGACCAATGGAAAAGAATAAAAAATCCAGAAATAAAAATATCAGCATACAGACAACTGTTCTTTGATAAAGACCCCAGAAATATCAAATGGGAAGGAGACACCATTTTCGACAAGTGGTGCTGAAAGGAAATGGATACCTACCTGCAGAAAAATGAAGGAAGGCCCTCATCGCACTCCAGGCACAAGAATAAAGTCAAGCTGCATCACAGACCTCAAGGTGAAACCACTAACTATTAGGGCCATCAACGAGGGAATTGGGACATACCTAAGAACTTTGACACAGGGAATACAAAGGCTATCAGAAATAGGGAAAGGCACAAACACAGAGGAAGCACAAATTGACAAGTGGGATATACTGAAGATAAAACACCTGTGCATATCAAAAGACTGTTAAGAGCGTAATGAGTCCACAGTCTGGGAAAACATCTTTAGCAATGACACAGCAGACAAAGGGCTTATTACTAAAATATACAATACTCTGCTAGCTTACAACTGGAAAAGAACAAAGAATTCAATGAGGAAGTAGGCAAAATACCTGAACAGAAGTTTCACAAGGGTGAAAATCTGAATAGCCAATAAACACATGAGAAAATATTCCCCATCAGTAGCCAAAAAGGAAATGCAAATTTAAACAACTATGAGATACCACCTAACACCATAAAGATAGCCCAATTCAGAAAATCAGAAAGCAAAAAGTCCTGGAGGGGTGTGGTGAGATAGGAACTTTCATCCACCGCTGGTGGTCCTATTCGTACGTGCAACCACTGTGGAAATCTATCTGTTGATACCTAAAACAAATGGAAATTGAGCTATCTTATGATCCAGCAATTCCCCTACTTAGCTTATACCCAGAAGAAGTAAGAAACAAACCAATACCAGATACTGGAGCTCCAATTCCTTGCCGCGCAGTACACAATCTCCAAGAATTGGAAACAATCTAAGTTTCCATGAACTGACAAATGGATAAAAAATCTGTTATATACATACAATGGAGTACTATGCAGCCTTGAAAAACAGCAGTGAACACATGAAGCACATTGTCTTATGGGAAGAGTTGGAGGAAATTAGGCTAAGTGAAGTTAGCCAAGTACAAAGGGACAAGTACATGAGTCCACTGAGGTAAGCTAAACAAATACAAAGGGCATAAGGACAAGCTACTTATTGTATAAATTCCAGGTCCAGGTCCAGGCATTTTAGCATGGGTCTGACCTAACCCAGGGATGCATATGTCAGCTAACTAAAAAGAAGGGGAAAAAGAGAAACAAACAAACAAACAAAGAGAAAATGAGGGTGGTGGGGGAACAGGGCACAAATGCACTCACAGGGAGGGTAGAGCTTATGTCTCAAAAAGAAAGGGAGAGATGGATCAGACTTTATCCCAGAGTGACTAACCTTGAGGGTAACATACTGGTATAGAGCAGCGGACTAACAGAGAGGACGACAGGGCTGCGCCCCAGCTGAGCTAATGTTGACCCCCTCCCCAGAAGAATATAATACAGAGAACACTGAAGATATAGCAGGGGGAGAGTGGAAGGTCTGTCCAGACCACACATGTGCAAACTAAGAGGGAGAGAGAGAGAGAGATCCTCATCATGGTCCACCAAGCCCCAAACCCACTGGATGACATTCCTGCTCAGAGCAGCCAATACACAGAGGGGACTGTAGGGCTGGCTCCACCACAAGACACAACATTCTTTCACTGACCCATCTTACTATAGGGGACAGCACTGGAGACACTGTGAGTAAGTGTGCCCTGTCTGCCCCACGCACAACGGGGTGAAAATGCAAACGAAATGCAACAGGGCAGCAAGAGGAACAAAGTAACAAAATCCCTAAGGAATCTTGGCACCTCATCAGACCCAATTGGGAAACAATCATAAGGGTCAGCAGACAGACCTCAACTATCATCTTTTATTTTTCTTTTGCTCTATGTCTATCTTTATAAGATAGGCAGGGCCAAAGCTCCCAAAGAGAAAGGACCAGTGGTCACAGCACAACATGGGAGAGGAGGTGGCGAGGAGTGGGAGTGGGGAGTCAACAAACTCAGGGATAAGGGAACAAGAGATCTAAAATTGATGGCATGGGGGAGGTGTAATGTTTGGTGGGGTTTGATCAAGTGCAATGTATCTGAGAGGAATTACTGAGGACAAAATGGAGGGTGAGGATGATAGTGGGACAGGAGGAAGGTGTAAGGAAATCGAGGAAAAGAACTAGGAGGCAAAAGCTACTTACAGAGGTATAGCTATAGGCATGTGTATATGTAAGTGTTTTAATTTATAATGAAAGGGAGAGAGGCCAATGTACACATATTTATATGCTAAGTATTAAGATAGCAGACAGACTTTGAACCCCCCTACTCAAGGCCTCCTTAAACACAAGAACACTTTGTTCTAATAACCTAGCATTGTTTGATACTCACTTTCCTGACATGATCACTAAAGACCAAATGTGTGCATAAGCAAATGTTGTGGGAAACAAAGATTTCTCCCAAGTCGTCTCCCCCAAATATGTTAGACTTAGGACACTGCTTGCAGCTAATGGTGACAGTCACTTTCCTTGAGGCAGTCAGCTGCCAGACTGTTGTCTCTTCTCACCACTGCTATCTCATCCCACCTTGTCCATAAGCCCCGGTGAGCCTGCTCCCTGCTGCTAGGGACAATGGGCTACTTCTCCCTGAGGCTTGTGACCATTAGTTTAGTTCCTGTAGGTGGGGTTTACACCCTACTGATAATGGTTCCTATGGAGATCCAGAGAACGATCAAACTCACTCAGTGACTTCAAGTTAGGCTGCCATCCTGAATCTAGGATCTGCCCATCTTGTCACATGGATACCACCAATCCCTCCTCTTCCTATTGAATGTATACCCCTAGATTGTACCCCTCTCATTGCTGTATAAACTATAGTGCAACCCCTTCCTGTGACGTATGTCTTTACCTGTAATTAGTGGGCTTGCACACTCCCCCAAAGGTATATAGGCTGGGGTTAATAAAGAGCTCTCTCTTGGCTCCTCCCTTGACCTCTCGTCTGTTCCCCCTCTCCTCTCCCATGCTCACTCCCCTGTTCCCTTTCCCACTGTCCTCCTTCCCTTCCCCCTCTCTCCATGTGGGCCACCAAGGGGACTGAGGTGAGCATTGCTACCATGAAATGTGTCTGACTCCATTATTTCAATATCTCTTCTATCTCTCATGCTCTCGATGGCTTTAATATAATATTTATATATCTCAATCGTACAATTGTGCGTATTGAATTAGTGGTGGGGGGCTGGTACCCCCTCTAACCACAAAATGTGATGGAGAAAGTGGATGGTGCCTGGCTAACAAAAGATATACCATCTGGAGTCTTAAAGGCTTGAAGTTAAACAAGCAGCCATCTAGCCAGGAAGCAAATAAGCCTACATGGAAGAAGCTCACCAGTCTGTGTGATCATGGAGTGTTGATGGGATCAAGTATCGGGTATCAAAAGATCCAAAACAAACAAATTATATTGATGCAAAAGAGAGGGGCTGGAGTGGAGACCAAAAGCTCATCATAGAAAAATGGACATCCCCCCACAGAAGGATTACAAGGAAGGGACGATTCATCCAGGTTGCAGTAGAGCACTTATGAAACACAAATCATAGTTCTTAAGTGCTTTCTTTCTCTCACTGTCATGACCCACTTCTACCTTATAAATCCAGCTAGACTGGAGTAATCACATAGGTACAGATAAGAGTTCTTGACATGGAATTCAGGAACAGTAGTGGAAAGAGCAATATAATGAGGGTAGGGAGATGATGGGGGGGGGTGGAAGAAAGGGGGAATCAATCACAAGGTTGGATATATAGTCGTCCCCCCGTCCACCCCCCCATGCCAGTGACAAATAGCAGAAATGTAGGGAAAGGGAGACAATGGACAGTGTAAGACACGAAATAATAATAATATATAATTGATCAAGGATTCACAAGGGTAGGAAGGTGGGAGGGGGAGGGGGGAAAAGAGGAACTGATACCAAGGGCTCAAGTAGAAAGAAACTGTTGGGGAAATGTTGATGTCAACATATGTCCAAGTGCACTGAATGCAATTGAATGATCGATTGTTATAAGATATGCAAGAGCCCCCATAGAATGTTTTTTTAAAAAAGGGAATCATCCCACTAGGATGATCCATGCTTACTCAGGATACTTGAACAGAGAAGTGGTGGCAGAAAGGCAAGGAAGATGAGGAAGGGCAGAGACCATTAGGCAGAGTGCTGATCTTTTTGCTCCTAGAAGGAGTAAAACTAAGTGCTCTTTGGGTAAGGAAGTTGGCTTATAGAGTAGCGTGCTTTGTGACACTTCTCTGAGCAAGGCATAAGCCAAGGAACCACATGACTCCAAACACAGAAAAGAGAGATAGATGAAAAATACATTATCTGATTCTGACTTGTAACCTTGTTAGGTTCCCTGATATATCTCCCATAACTGTATTGTTTGTGAGTTCATTGCAACGGATTATTGAGCCCAACAGAGAAGTAGTATCATTGGTGGGATGATTAAGGTCAGACTAGGAATTTGGAGGGTGGAGGCAAACTGGATGTCTGCCTCATAGGAATCATCCTGAGCCAGATTTGCAGTTGGATTCTCCGTTTGGGAGTCAAAGAATGTTGGATGTGGTACCTACACCATTTCTTCAATATTATACAGCAATCTTAAGCAACTAAATTTAATCTTTGTACTATCTTTATAAAATATGTTTTAACACAATTAACAAGTTAAATGTAAGTTCAACTTGTTGAATATGTTCTCAGTCTGGAAGTATAATATAATTTACTGTACTTTTCTTCTTCTGGTCTCTTGTCACTTGATTTTTAATCCACTAATGTCTACAATTATATTAGAAAGATTGAGAGTTGCTGAAATGTCACTGTGAACCAGACCAGTGTAAAGACTGAGATAAGCACCACAATTATGTTACATGCCAAAATTTCAGGACCTTTTTGATATTTTATAAATTTTTTCGCACTAAAATAGTTTTTTCAAACATGGTTCCACTTTAGTTCACTTTTCTCATATAAACGTGTTCCTTCAGACAATAAGACATATTCCTAAAGTCAAGGATGCTCCCACTGGTATATAGCTGGAACTTTAATTTCATAGCTTAATGAGTCAAAGAAATCTAATAATGTTCACAGATACCTGTGATCGTGATGCTGTTCAAGTCAATATGGTAAGTGGCCAGTTGGCTGGATTTGTTTGCTTCAATGCCTTGAATCAGTTCTTCTTTAACATTTTCAGCAGACACCCATTTGGCAAAGGAAAGGTCAAAGGTGGCAATAATGCTGCCATTTCTGCAAAGCAAAAGATGATATAAGAGGGAAAATTCAGTCAGCCTTCTTCAAGTACATTTTTACTCAATTCTTTTAAGATGTTTTTTTATCATTCTTTACAGTTAGCACCTTGTTAATCCTCATTACACCAATTTAGGGTGAGTCACATATGAAATTATTATTGCTTCATAAATGACCAAAAATGGAAGCAAAGTTTAAATAAGTGTTTTGTCAAGAACACAAAGACCCAAAATGTACCCAACATTGGAATCTAAATTTTCTGCTCAGGACCAATAATGAGAGAGTCATACCACGATGGTAGGGGGAAGGTGGGGGGACAAGAGAGAGAAAGAGAAAACTTACTGCAATGATCAAAGTACAACCCCACCCCCTCGGGGACGAACAACAGAAACCTGGGTGAAGGGAAACACTGGACGATGTAAAATATGAAAATAAAAATAATTTACAAATTATCAAGGCTTTATGAGGCAGGGAGATGGGGGAGGGAGGTGAAAAAAAGACAAGCTGATACCAAGGGCTCAAGTAGAAAGAAAATGTTTTGGAAAGGATCATGGCAACATACATACAAATGTGCTTGATACAATTGATGTATGGGTTGTTGTAAGAGCTGTAAGAGCCCACAATAAATGATTTATTAAAATTAAAAATTAATTTAAAAATAGACAACCATACAAGGCTATTCCTAGAGTAACATGTCAAATTAAAATCATTACATGTTATCACTGCAATTATTCTTAATTTACTCTTAAGTTATAATGATATGGACTTACAGTTTTTTGTTGATGGTTTCTAATAAAGAGAAATCTAAAGTAGTTCCCTAAAATGATAACATTTCCAAATAGTGTATAAAGTACAGAGCACATGCTTTGAGCAACTAAGCCATACTTTTATTTCCCTTCCCTATTTTGATTCATATAAAATATATAATTATGCCTTGATTCAACGTTTATAGAAAGAACAATTATACCTCGGATTATTAAATTCAAGCTCATGGTTAAGGCTGAGATTGTTTTAATAGTCATACTATGCAAATTCAATCATATGACCCCCCACCTACTTCCTTATTTTATTCCCTGTTCCTTAAAGTGCATTTAATTTCTTTCTTGATTCATTTTCATTTTAGAGAAACATAAAAATATTATTCGTATTGCACCCAATAGTGAGACTGGAGAGGTTTTTGCACTCTTGCATACATTTCTAGTTGCCTCATGCTAATATTTCAGGATACAGCTATTCAGAGACAGGCTACAACACTGAATTTCATTTTGTACTCATCAGTAACTGCAAGTATTTAGGATAAGCTTGGGTGCTAAAAGATGGACGATAGAGAACCAAGTTTTTCCTGGTACATTTGCCAGCTCAGGAATTTACACAGTTGCATCACATCCTGCACTATCTACAGGATATCTACAAGATATCTTCAAACACTCTTACTTCAAAATGTATATTGTTAAATGAGTATGATCCAAGTAAAGGAGCTGTGATGATATTAAGTCTTAATTAAGAGGAAATAATGATTAACTGCAAGTTCAGGGTTCAAACCTTTAAACCAATTGTTAGAAAAAAGATGAGGCATTTTTTTACTCCTCTAAAGACATACAGCCTTGGTATATTAGTCTGGGTACATTAGAGAAACAAATCCACAGAAACTCATATGTATTAGAGAGAGTTTTATATGAAGGGTAAGTGTGCATCAAGAAAACATCCCAACCCAGTGCTGCCCAAGCCCACAAGTCCTACTTTAGCCCATATGTCCGACACCAATCCGCACAGTCCTCCTCCATCTCACAAAAGACAAGCAATGATACCAACTGCAGGAGGAAAGCCGAATCAGTGAGTTTGAAAGCATCTGAGCGCTGGCAGGGATCATCACATGGCTGCTCCAGCACCCAGGGCTGCATCGGGGTAAGTCCACGAATCAAGAAAGAAATTAAATGCACTTTAAGGAACAGGGAATAAAATAAGGAAGCAGGTGGGGTCATATGATTGAAGACTCCTAGCGGGTGTCTTCCAGGAAGTCAGCCTTGCCTGCTGAAGCAGGGAACTGGACAAGGCAGCTGCACCCTGGTCCACCCATCAAAAAGCAAGAGACCCAAGAACTAGAAAGGTGAGGCTCACCTGGCCATTTATGCCTCCACCCTTCAATTAACCCCACATGTGTTTATCAGCCAGGTTGGCACAATAAACTTTAACTATCTCACTTGGAAACCCTATACAGCTACTCTGAGTCATAATAGATTCTATATCACTCTTGTTGTTGTTGTTATTTTTTAAGTAAGATGAGAATGAATAATATTCATTTCTTTCTGTCTTCATTTTCTGTTTTCACTTTATTCTTGGTTGCACACTCAGCAGCTTTAATTTTCATTAAATTCATCTTTCTTCATTATATAATTTCCACATTTTGCATGTGGCAAAACCCTTGGTTTTATTTTATTTGAGTAAAATAAACTTATGTAGAAGAGATATGCTATTTGGCAGAGAAAGTGCCAATCTGGAATGTTTCACTAGGTTGAAACTAACTGGATTAGTTCATCCTCAGGCATAAACATCTTTGTATTAAAGATGTGTTCACTTAGTTGTGAATTATACATGACATTCAATAATTCACACTTTCAAGGACAGGAGTTACATATCCTATATCCACATGCTGCTGTATTCTTCAAAATTTATTTTCTAATTAAAATTAATTATTATGAAAACATACATATATGTATATTAGAAATCAAGAAAACCTTGTTAAACATTTATGTTCTGTGTAAAGCTGAAGTACTTTTGCAAAGATCTCTATTTCTATTGTGAGATTGATTTTCTTTATTAAGCTAAATGAGAATTCTTCCTTTAGGAAACAACAAAGAAACAAAACAATGGTCACTTTTTATCAAAGAACTTGTTCAAGTAGAAAATCTGAATCTTTAAAAAAAGTGGGGGGAAGAAGCAGATAAATTCTATCATTGTACAGAGAGCCAATGTGCAATAAATCAAAATGCTTCTTATCTTGTATTTCCCTTAATGATATTGATAACCTTTAGAACTGCTGAACGAACATTCTCCCCCTGACTAGTGACTCATCTGTCCTCAAAGGGCAAAATAAGCCGCATATTGTCTCAAAGGGTAAACAGAACTTAATTAAAAGAATCAACTGCTAAATGCTCTCTGAATCAAAGTACTTTCCACAAAGTGAAATTCCAAAAAGTGTTTCCAGGGAAGAGCAAACCTGCAGACTGGTTCAAGCAGATAAGTGGGCATGCGTGAGTGTATGTGTGCACATGCTACACTAGCACATGTGTGCCCTCCACCCCACCCCCCACACACATTTACACACATGCAAGCAATTTACCAGGAGACTGGAGATTAAAATAATTGTGTCTGGCTGTGCAAAAAAAGAGTGGGAGAGACATTAAGAGAGAGGATTTGTCAGTTTTCCTTACCATCTCCCTGGCTATAAGGAGGGTGAGCCATCTTACATGAGCTAGCCTTGAAGCAGCAGTAAGCAGAGACAAGAGAAACCCAAAGGGTCTTAGAAGAATATACTGAAGGGCTCTCTGAAGTGGTGGAGGCTGCTGAGATCAAATGCACTGGAAACTGGCATGGCAGCTCGGAAGAGCAACACCCAAACCCTGGGTACCTACCTGCTCCTCCTCTGGCTTGAGATGATGAAACTTTAGGACAGAGTGACAGGTGGGCTGATTTCCTGGCCATGAAGGTAAAGGCCAAGGGACCATAGACCTAAGTGACTAAGAACCAGAGGATGACTTGGCTACCATGTGGCTGAGAGGCTGAGACTTAGTTGTTGGCAAGTGACTGCATCCTTACTCTCTGCTGATCCTGATTTGTAGTAACCTATTAACTTCCCTAAAAAACCCTCTTAATTTGGAATATTGTCTGTGAGTTTTATGTGGCCACTGCAATGAATTATCACACCCAATATAGATGCAGAGTGGTGCAAGAGGAAAGGTTTGCTTCAGAAGGATCACAAAAGTTGGAGTCTGAAGGCATATCGGACGCTTGTCCATGGCACTAGGGAAGTCATAGATGTCCGGGATATGGTCCTCTATTGTTGTTCCTCACATGTCCAAGAAGAGAACAGTAGAACCTTTATATTATAAACCCCAATCAAACTCACTGTCACACAAGTCTGTTCTGATTCATAGTATCATTACAGATAGAGTAGATTTGCCCTTGTGGGTGTCCTAGGCAATACATCTTTATGGGAGTGGAAAGCCTCATATTTCTCTTGTGGAGCAGCTTGTGGATTTAAACTGCTAACCACGTCATGAGTAGCCAAATGTGTAACTTACTATACCACAAGATCTCCAGGAATAAAGATAGTAGATGACAGTAGACAGGCTAGTAGAATCAAAATAATAATATGCAATGAACTGGAGTCCTGGACAAAGAGAAATGGTGAAAGAAAGAAGCTAGGATACTAAGTATATTTTTGAAAAATAAAAGCTGACACCTTTTGGTGGTTTGTTCGTTTAATTGCCACTGCAATTGATAGCCTGAGTTTTTGCCCCATTGGAAATGGTAAGACTCTGAACTTCCTTTTACCCATTAAACTCCATTCTGTCAATATTTCCTTAAGCATAATCAGTTTCCCTCTGACTTGACTCTTCTGTATCTGTTTGCTCACAAAGATCTGTGGATCTGTCCCCTGAAGTTATGAGTCTTGTAAAGAATGTATAGAAAGTCTCCTTGTTCCCAGGCTTCCGGATTCAGTTCTTCCTGGCATTAGTTATCCAGCCTTGCATATTCCTGGTCTGGGATATTTGCCCTAAGTAGGAGACTCAGACTCAGTGTGTTTCTATAACGACCAACTGTCCCACTGACTCCCATTTAACCCAGATTATATGGCAGACTCGTAACCTTGCACTGAACAACTTCTTTATTCCTCAGTGTCTTCCTACTGAATCCTCAACTCTAGCCAGATTTGTGGTCAACGTGCCATGTTAATTCATTTCTTTCTTTCTTTTTTAAAATCAGATATTCTATATTCA